CTCTCTCTCTCTCTCACACACACACACACACACACGTACACAAAGAAACAGGAAAAGAAAGCAAATGCAAAAATAAACATGTCACGGCCCCCTTCCCCCTAACGCTTCCCCCTCCGCCAGTGTCTCTCTCTAATCCATCTCTCTCTCACACATACACACAAACGAAAGCGAAGAAAAAAAGGAAATGAAAAAACAGATATTGTCACATGGCGCGCTTTCACCTTCCCCCACCCTCCGCTGACATCCCACTGACCCTACCCCCTTCGCCCTGACCCTCCCCCCACCCATCTCTCTCTCTCTCTCTCTCTCACACACACACACACACACGCTCTCGTCGTGTGTTTGTATGAACCCCCTGCAAAAAGCATGACTGAGCCAGACTGTTTCAATGGACTTTCACCAACTCATCAGGAGGTTGAACCCCGACAGTCTGCCTACGATGCATTTGCGCGCGTGTGCATATGCGTGTGTGCTTGTGTGTTTGTGTGTGTGCTTGCGCGGGCGAGCACGCAGCTGTCCATGTGAGTGCGCGGTGTCAAGTTCACTATACACCACCCGCCACAGATATGCGGCTGGAACCGATTTTTCCCCTGACCTGGCAGCCCTAACTTCCGTTGGGCTGCGAACTGGCCCTCTACGAAAGAAAAATACAGGGCCCTACCGGTAGTCCAAACATTGGGCGGCGATCCCAGCCGTTCACGGTCCTACCGGCCCGACAGTCCCGATTGCCCCGCGATCATAAAGTTTTAAGATCGCAGGGCAATCAGGGCCGTTGGGCGGTAGGACAGCGAACGGCATGGATCACCGTGCGATCTTAAAATCATAAGATCGCAGGCAATCCGGGCCGTCGGGCCGGTAGGTCCGTGGACAGCCCAGATGCCAAAAGTCTCACATTAGCAACTTTTATAAGTGTAGGGATTTAAGCCCAAGAGAAAAGAAACAGGGAAAAGGGAAACAAAAAATGAAACAGTGACTCGAAGAGCATGTTTTCAACACCCCCACCTTTGGGGATTTTTCTTTTCCTGCTGATCCAAGTGCCCCAAAAATTTAATGCATATACCTTATCTGACGGAGAACCGACAGAAATGTTTTCACGTCAAACAGAGCTGCCCGGTAA